ACTGTGAACGCATTAATCTATTTCTTACCAGATCTAACTGGACTGCATTGTTACTTCCCAATGTGGCTGGTGAAGAACCCTCAGAGATTAAAGTGGCAGATTTGATCCCAACTTTGACCTGTCCTTGCATTGTCAGATTTATCTCACTCTTCAAGTTCTTTGAAGGAATCTTTTCTAAAAAAAAAAATAATAATAATTTATTTTTAGCTGTACTGTGTCTCTGTTGCTGCGCAAGGTTTTCTCTAGTTACCACGGGTGGGGGCCACTCTTCATGGTGGTGAGCAGACTTCTCACTGCAGTGGCTTCCCTCCTTACAAGGGAAGGGTTCTAGGGCATGCTGGCTTCAGCACTTGCAGCTCATGGACTCTGGAGTGAGAGCTCAGTAATTGTGGCATGTGGACTTAGTTATTCCGGGGTATGTGGAATCTTCCTGGCCCAGGGATACAGGCATTAACATGTGGACTCCCAACCACCGGACCACTAGGGAAGACTTGAAGGAATCTTTTAAAGCCACTTGTTTTTCAAAGTGATTGGTTCAAACTAGATAACATAATCTGTGCATGCATGAGTCCTAAGTTGCTTCATTTGTGTCTCACTCTTTGGCATCCTATGGACTATAGCCTGCCAGACTCCTCTGTACATGGGGATCCTCCAGGCAAGAATTTCTGGAGTGGGTTGCCATGCCTTCCTCCAGGGTATCTTCCTGACCCAGGGATTGAACCCGTATCTCTTATGTATCCTGTGTTGGCAGCTGAGTTCTTTGCTACTAGTGCCAGCCACCAACATAATCTTTGGAAACTGTTAACTTCAGGCAATGTCAAGTTCTCAAAAGTGGAAAGACCAGAGGGAGCACCACTGTTCCCCTCTAGGCCTTGTGGGCCTGCTCTTCTGTTAAGTAGCTTCAGATACACTGTTTGATTGGTATGTGACTGGTTTACTTGGAACCATGTAAAGTTGCCAGGGTAAATAAGTATAGTATTTACAAAGCTCTTTTTTCTTTTTCTCTTTACATTTTTTTAATCATTAGAGGAAAAAGAAATAAAATTTCTAATGTTCTTCCCAGATTGCTCACTCCACTTTGGAGAAGCCTATCTTAGGCAAATTACTTACTGCCTCTCAGTTTCTTTATCTGTAAAATGGGGATAATATCACATATCTCATAGGGTTAAATGGATTAAATGGCATACACAAAGGTCTCTGCACAGATACCAGCATATGTTTTAAAGGAGAAATAAAAGGGAGCTGCTATTATGATTATTACTACTCTATTACACAGTTGCCATGTATGTACTCATGTTATTCCTAGCGTAATTTTAAAACAAAACAAAACCTCCTCTCAATGCTGTTTATATGATAGCAAAAGCCGTAGCTTCTCCTCACCTCCCACCTACTCCCACCACCCAAAACACAACAAACTCTAAAACACATCAGCCTTTTCAGCTTGGAAAAATAACATATTCTGAACACTTAATAATATTGTTCAATAACTAAGACCTGCTAAATTCTCTGTTTCAGATAATTTTAATATATATCTCTCATCCTTTCATTCAACAGAAAATTTTTAAACAACATACAGTGTACTAGGCATCCGGCTAATTGTTGCAGTTTCAAAGATGAATGGAACTTGCTCTACACCCTCCAGGCACTAACCATCTACTGGAGGATACCAAACAAATAATTGCATCAAAGTGATAAGTGCTATCATGGTACAGATCGGTTGCTATGGGAGCAGAGGAGGACTAACGGTTTCCTTCGCCTGGGGAGGGTAGAGAGGGCAAGGAGGACCCTTGGAAGGTATCTTGGCTGTAGCTGAGCTTTGGAGGATGTGCTTGGGGAACCTGCATTTCATTGAGAGTGAACTAATAAATCCAGTCTGGCCCCTTAGTTGCCAGGAGGTCAACCAGGCTTCTTGAGCTCACATATTTTCAGGAGGTCAAGAAGGCTAGTAGAGATCTGTCCTTGCACAGCTGTGGCACAGCTGAGGTCTGAAACTCATCACAGAATGGATTGGGAATAGAGGCTTTTGAGCTAGAGAATGGTATGATCACAAAGAGAAGTGGGGTGGTATTTTGGAGGATTGGCTGTGGAGAATCTAAATGTATTGACTGTTGATTAGAAAAAAGGAGAGGAGTGTTTATTTCTGTAATAAATCCACTTGCTAATTCTGAACTCTTCACTAAATTAAATGTCATCTGATTCACTTTGTCAAAGTTTAGTTTCCATTACTGTAGATGAAGTCCTCATTCCCTAAATGGTCTTACTTGCTCCTGTTTGAAGCTAGACCACATTTCAGCCAGCATGAATAGTTTGCTGGATGAAACTTGAAGCTTCCTGACTTTGTGCATATATATATTTATAGAGAGAGAGAGGGTGTTGTAGCTAGATGTCAGTTTTCAGACCCAGTGTCTACTCTATGCAGGATGTCAACCATGGCCGACTTACATAACAAGTGAATGTAGCCATACAGACATGAAAAAAAAAAAATGACATCTCTTCCTTGATGTCAAACTAGAAAGAGAAAAGCAAGTTCAGAGAAGACATTATGACTCATCAAAGTCCAAAAGGAAAAGCTTTGTGTGAACCTAGCATCCTCTGCAGCCTCCTGGAGTCCTTCTAGCCTCCAACCCTATTTGCTTTTGTGTGATTTTCTGCAAAACAAAATAATCCCATCATTTTCCTCCTTAATATCAGTTGTTAAATTTTACCTTCCTTTGGAGATGAAATTCACGCTATATGTTCCACAATCTTCTTTTCATGCTGAGTGAAAGGTGCTGCCTTTTCATTTCTCCTGAGTGTAGGCCTTATTTTATAAAATTCCTACTTGCTGCAGTGCAAGCTACAAACAAGACAATTCTTCAGAGTAAAGACTTGAAGGGAGAAGGTGGTGCTTTCTTAGACCAATGTGAAGGGAAAGGGAGATGCAATATCTATATTTAATCTCTGCTCCCAGTGATAGATTTTATTTTTCCATCCCCATCATTGTGCATATAATGCATAGATACCAATCCCTCTAAGTACTGCATCAAAATTTTACATGAACTGAAGAATATACACAGGTAACACAAGGAGTGTTGTTTTCTTCTTTACTTTCCTTCTGACAAAACACCAGAAGGAATGACCAGTCTCTTCCGCTAGTATCTCACTAAGATGATTGCTCTCTCTTTGAAACTTGGGCTAGCAGGTGAAAATGGATTCTTAAAAGGGATAAAGGGCACTTACAAGGGAATTAAGATGAAGTCATCAATGTTTGAAAATTGGCATATAGGGTTGGCATGCCAGGGAAATGGATCACCCCCCCCTTCCAGCCCAAATTAAAACCTTATATTACCTAATGTATTAAGCATCACCATTGGGTTAAAGCCCTTTTATAGACAACTAGGTTATCTGGCTATAGTAGTAGCTGAAATTTATTAGGCAATTGGAAGTTCTACTTTTACTACATTGCTAATTTTGTTTAAGATTTCTCACCTAGTTAATAGTTATACTGGCATAACTTCAGGCAGAAAAACAAGTTCTTACAATAGATTCTTCAGGGCATAATATATTCTACTTCTTTTATATGTGTTATCTTTTGTTGTCTTGAGTTTCACTTTGGGATAGATAGAAAATTATAAAGCTCAGGTTAACAAGCAAGTAACAAAGCCTTAGAAAACTACAGGGTACGTGATCCTTGACACTCCCAGCCACCTGAAAATGGTGCCCTTGAGGATTCTTCCTCCACCAGCAATGACCAGCAACATAAACAATTCTTGCCATTTAATGACCCCATGCAGCATGCTGCAGCAGTGTTTGTTCCACAGCTTCATGCCTTCAACTTATCCACTGCACAATTTTAAGCACCCTAGAACTGTATTTCAGACCCAGTTGCTCAAATAGAGCCAATTTTGCAACAGTAAAATGGTGTTAAAATAGGATTTTACTCTAGGGGGGAGAAATCTTGAACCAAATAGTCACAGTGCACTTTGCATGACTAATTTAAAGCGTTACATTACAAAATAAGGGCTATGTCATACTTTTAATAACACTACCATATAGGAACAGTTTTAATGTTGAGTCAAGCACCTACATTCATCTGAGTCTAAAATAATAGGCCCCTGATTTAAAATCTCCTAACATTCTTTCACACTTCATAAAACAAAATAAAATTCTCTCAGCAAACGCTGACCTATTCATCCAGCCAAAGTACTGTATTTCAAGGAAAATGGGAAGGAGAGGTCTCAAACCCACCAAAGCGCCAGCAGTGTGCTGTCTGCAACGGTAACTGGTCTTAAATGTGGGCTGGGGGCGAAGACTATGGACAGGAGAGAATAAGAGATTTATTACCTATCTTAAATCAAAAGCAGATTCCATGCTTTAACTACCCCCTATCGCCCGCCCGCCCCCACGAGGTTGTTTCCCCCCCCCCTTTTTTTTGGGTATATATCTTACGGGAAGATGACAGGTGAGGGAAGGTTAAAGTGCTGTGTCTGGTCCACAGAGGCAACACGGGGGGTTAGGGTGGGTTTGTTTATTTCTAAGGCGTTCAGCCTCTCAGCTGTTTTTCCCTCAGTGGCATTTGGGAGCTTGCAGTCCTTTAGAAAAGAGACAGATTTGGCAGGAATGTTCTTTGTGCCCGCCTTCCTTTTTACGGGGGAGAAAAGGAACAGATTTATAATTACAGCCTTGGGTGGGGGGCGGGGTGGGGGAGAAAAAGTTTCGGGCAGCACGTCGATGCCTGTTTGTTTTTCTTTTTCATGGTCAACACTGTGCTACAAACAGCTTGGGTGCCACTTGGAGCCTTCCTCCTCCCGTCCCCTCCCTTCACCTCCGCAGGCTCGCTCTGGCAGGCAGAGGCACAGTTAAATTCCAGCACCTTCTTCCCATACCCCTAAACTACGCGCTATTACTACGGCTGCCCGCCCTTTCACTTAGCCACCTCCGCTTCCCAGCCTCCCGCCAGGGGGCCGGCAGGGGCCCCGGCACAGTGCCGGGGAAGGATAACGGGCGCCCAACTCCTTCCATCAGCGCTTGGGGCTTTCAGCGTCCTGCGCAGTTTTTCTGCTCCAGGCACAAACCCGGCCAGAGAGCCGGCGCCTTGCAGACACACACAGATCCACGCATACTGTAGAGCTGTCTGGATCCACATTCTTGCACACCGCCCCCTCCTCCCTCCCGGAGCTCCGGGAGTCGCCGAGCGGGGCGAGTGACAGGCGCTTCCCGCCAACCCGCGCCCGGGCGGGCAGGGAGGAGCGGCGCGCTGGGCCAACTGCGGCGCGTCTTCCGGCGCCCGCGGAGGCGGTGAGGGTGGGACGCGGGGCGGAGCCGGAGTTTAGGAAGAGGAGGGGATGGCTGTCATCAATGAAGTCATATTCATAATCTAGTCCTCTCTCCCTCTGTTTCTGTACTCTGGGTGACTCAGAGAGGGAAGAGATTCAGCCAGCACACTCCTCGCGAGCAAGGTAAATATAACTTACAACTCCTTTCTCCTCTTTCCCCTCCCTCCGGCCTCCGGGCTGCAGCCGCCACACAAACCCCTCCTTCAAAGCCGCCTTCGCCGGGGATTATTCATTATTAACCTAATTATTATTTATTGTGCATGCACGGAGACCAAAACAAACAGGCGGGCCAACCGCCACAGCAACAACAACAAAAAAAGCCCGCCTCCTACCCCGCGGGCCTCAGGTGGAATGCTCTTAACGACAGCTCCCGGGCGGCAGTGGAAGAAACACGAAAGTTTCAACCGAAGCTTGCTGTTCTAATAATAATAGTAATAATTACTACTTCAAGGAGGCAAGGGGAGGAAAATCCCAACAAACCACAGCCTTGACCCTAGGTAGGCAATCAGTGATGCTCTGCCAACGGAAGGTTGCAACATACACACATGCACACACACACACACACACACGGCAAGGTTGCAATCCCCTCAGTCCTTTAAAAGCTGGGGTTGGGGGAGGAGGTGGCAGGAGGACAGAGAAGAGTATGGAAACGCTACGGTTCTACCAGAGTAGTCCTCCCCAGAAGAGTTGGAAGGGGAGCGGGAGGAGAGGGCGAGGAGCCCGGGCTGACGGGTGGGCGCCAACGAACGCGGCTGCCACCAGCTTCCCCGGGACTTGTTTAAAGGGCTCCGGCTGCGGAGACGAGAGCTGGTCGCGGTGAGCGAAGCCGGAGCTGGCTTGCCGAGGCGGTGGCAGCCACCGCTGCGGGGCCGCTGCGTGCGGGATCGGAGGTGTCACCCACTTTGCGAGCAGGGATGGGTATGCTGACCAGTAGGCAGGCCTTTAGGCAAAGGGGCTGCTGGGGGTCTGCACCCGGGGCACTGCGGACGACCCTGCCCCTGGTACCTGGTGGCCGCGCGGGCTCGGGTGTTGAAGTTCGGGGTGTGCAGCCCCACCACACTGCTGGGAGGGAGGGAAGGAGGGAGGAGGTCCTGAAGAAGGAGGTCGGAGGTGCCCATTGGGCTGTTACCCTGCCCTCCGCCTTCTTGGGTTTGTTTTCTTTTGCTCTGCATCTTCCCCTAGCTTGGGCTGCCGGAACCTCGGGCGTGGGTCGCCGGCGATCATCCAGATGCTAGGGGAGCACCCTGGCCCGGGAGAGCCACGGCGGCTGCGGGCGGGGGAGGCCATGATCCGGATAATCCTCTCTGCCTGACTGTCACAAACAGGACCCGCGCGCACCCTGTGCTGTGGCGTTCGCTGTAGAAGGGAAGGGCTGGCGCGGGGTAGGGGGTGGGGGGCGAATGGGGAGGCTGGTGAGGGCAGGAGGCGGGGAGACGGGGAGGGAGCCTGCCCCCAGAGATGACACGCACCGCTTCCTTCTTGTTCCCTGCTTTCGAGTTTGCTTTATTCCCATCCTAACCTGGTTTACTCCTTCCTCTGCTTTCTCCCTCCATCTCGCCGTGTTCCCTCCTCCCGGTTGCGTTGCAAAACACGGCCATGCCATCTGCAAGGTGTCGCGATGCACTTCCCCAAATAACCAGTCCGGCGCGCCAGCCCGTAGTCACCCTCCCGTCTGCGGGCGCACACCAAGTGGGGCGCCCTGGGTGCCCTGCACCAGGCCTCGCAGCCTGGGCGCAGTTGCACCGCGCGGGGCGGGGCGCAGCAGTGCGGGCTCCAGGGGGACAACCGCTCCTGGGTCCCGACACTCGGACCGGTTTCCGGCACACGCGGGGAAATCGCCTCCCGCCAGTGTCTGCGCACTCGCCCCCGCCTCCACCGCCTGGATTGCATTATTATTTTTATCCTGGTTGCAGTTTGCAGCCGAGATCCTGGTGAGCCCGGGGCTGGCCGGACTGCTGGTGGGGGGTGGGGGGGGGGTGGCGGGTGGAGGGAAGTTGGACGTGGATCAGGCAGGAAAAAAAAAGTTTGGCAGGGAGACTAAGGAAGGAGGGAGGGTGGGAGGGGGCGGCGAGCTCCCGCAGCTCGCGTCTCGGCGCCCTCGGGGCAGGCGCGAGTGTGTCTGCGCGTGAGTGTGAGTGTGTGTTGTGCGCGCTGGGGCCGGTGCGTCGCGAGCAGCGGCGAGGGCAGCTGCTCCTGCTCGTGCCCTGCCCGGGAGCCGAGGGAGGACAAGGCGAGGTTTGGTGGTGGAGGAGTGGTGGGGGTGGCGTGTGCGTGTGGCTGTGAGTGTGCGCGCGCGAGCAGCGGAGAATCAGGAAGTCACAGCAGCGAAGCGCACACAGACATGTTTGATCGCCGTGACATGACGCGCGCGAGGGAGGAAGCGGCAGCGGCTGCGGGGGCCGGGCCGCGGGCTCCAGCGCCGGCCTAGGGCTTGGGCGGGGAGACCCGCTCCGGGCAGCCGGCAGGGCCGCCACAGCAGGCTAGGCGAGCCCCGCGCCTCTTTTTGTTCCGAGTCCCCCAGGTAAGGAGCCTGAGCCTCCGCCGCCCGCCGGGTGCGGAGCTTTCCAGTTCTTTCCCTCCCGGCCCCCTCCGGTCTCCCGGTCTGGCTTTCTTGCAAAGTCAGGCGGGCGGGGGAAGCCGGCTCCCGGCCCTCCGATCGATCGCGTGGAAAACTTTCCAGCGGGAGGCGCCGCAAAGGGAAGAAGGCCTTGCTGGCTGCTGTCCGTTGTCAGTTCTTTCTCCTCCGGGTCCGGAGAGTGGAGTCGCTGTGCCCCGGGGCTGTGGCATGCTCAAACTTCAGGCCTAAACGTGCCTCCAGCTTTCGCCGGATTTACTCCAGAAATTAAATATTCGAAGTTGTCCGCTCGGTCCTGCCAGGCATTTGGGTTTTTGAAGAGCAGAAGGCAGGCATGGGAGTCGAGGGGGTGGGAGGGTTGTGCAGAAGTGCAGTATCCATTCCTTCTTTAATGTCTGCAGCGGGTGTTATGTAATTTTAGTAGCACACGGGTGCAAAGCCCATACTGGGCTTCTCCCCTCCTTTGTTTATATAACTTTTGGGAGTTTTGCAAGGTCCACCCCCCCCCCCTTTCCTTTTTCTTCTTTCCGTTGTCGACCTAATGGAGCTTGGTGCATTTGAAAAAGTAAAGCGACCTGGGTCAGTATATTATTGAGAGGTGCTATCCTTAATCTCATGGTTATTATGCAGACTGTGTCCCTAACTGTGTGTGATGTTAGAGCATAAGGAACACATCAAGGATACACGTTTGTCTACTGCACTGAGTGGTTATTTTTAACGTCTCTGTACATCAGTAGCAGAGTTAAAATTTCAACTTCCACGTCAAAGGACTTTTTAATTTACACCTGGATGTGCCATGCTTGTTGGCACAGAAAGATTGCTGTTTTCGTTACTGAATGGAAGACAATTTCTATCTAACCGTGTAAGTAAGATTCAGTGCAGTGAGAACTGCACTGAAACAAAAGCCATGCCCAGTGTTGTTGTGTGTATATACTTACACTGGCATATTCAAATGTTTCAGTATTATTTTATTTGCAGGACCACTGCCCAAGGCTTGTTTGCCTATACTAGACGTGCTAGGCTTCTAGCTTACCTCTAGCTTCCTGGTGAATTGTTAAGAGGTGTGGCAGGTTTGAATCCAAGCTGGTGAATTGTTATGCAAAGAAAACACACTTTTCTCTTTTAGGAATCTAATTGCCCTTTTATTCTCCTAGACATTTTTTTTTAAAGCTCCCTAACAACTTGAATGTTTGCCGGTGGGAAGAGATTTGGAGATACCCATTAGGTTCATAAGATATTTATGGATGTGACTTAAAGTAGAAAAGCAAACCTGTATACAACCACTGCTCTACCTTGTTGGGGGCATTAAAGAGAAAAGTCGTATTGGTGGAGAACATTGTAAAATAAATCAGAGGAATTTGGGCTATCTGAACCCTTAAAAAATTGGCAGGGGTGAGAGGGTGCCTCCTTCCATGAAGCTTTTTTCTCCTATCAGTTACACCCCAACTCGGGGACTAGCTGCCCTGTGGGGTTTCACAGAAAATATTCACCGCCAAAGTGTGTTCAAAGCAGCCTTAGATCTTTTCTTTTGTTCAGTTTTTTTAAGTGGTTTTTGAGCATTTCTCGTCAAGTTTCTTAAAAAGTGCTTTGACCAACACCTGAGGCTTGGAATTGACCAAAAAAACCCAAAAATGCCTTTGCTTCTGTTAATGTTGTTAATGTTTAGATTCTGTTTAAAATATTTCTGGCGCTATAACTAGAAGGGAACACTTCGGCAAAGAAATAATTATTTAAAACTTTTTTCTTTGATGAAGTTTAAGATAACATAAAAGCACATCTCATGCTTTTCTCAGAGATCATTGTGGTACCCTTTATATTCCGGTAATATTTTGACATTTCATTTTAAGGGCTTATTATGTATTGAAACAAGACCATGAAAGAGAAGACTTTCATATATTATAAAAGTGGTGCCATCCTCCAGTGTTTTCGTGTTTTTTTTTTTCCTTTAGAAGTCTTCCTTTGTAAACAAGGCCTTTGTCACACTCTCCTAGGTCAGCAGCTTTTTGATACTCCAGAGAAATAATAAATCACTGTTTTTGACATCTTGACATGCTGCCATGAAAAATGAATTGTCATAAATATAATGCTAAGGAGTGTTTCCCTACACTAGCATATTGAGATTGGTCAGACCTGATTTAGTCACCGAAAGTTTTGATTTTCACTGTTTCTGGTCAGGATGATTTTAGAGAAGTCAGGGACAATTTGTTGCTTAACACGAGTGGCCTTAGAAACTTTATATAAATGAGTCACTTTTCTGCAGTATTTCTGGTGAACAGATGAAAAAAATTCCCTAATGTGAAAAGCCGTTTTTCGGGAGCTGCTTCTGAATTTTTTCCTGTTCATTTTTTTTTTCTATAAAAGAATGATCACCTGAATTGTTCCTTTTTCTTAAACATATTCTGTAGGTGGTTTTGGACAATAGTGGATGCTGAATTTTCTGTCATCTTTGGAAGTGTTTGTTTATGGAACTTTAATCTCTAGCCAGTTAATAAAGTCATGGATCATTCTCTGAGTAGTTGAAAATAGAAAATACAGGTGGTGGCCAGTTATTTGGTAGAGTATTTAGGAAGGCCCGGGATGTTTACTTTTTCTACATAGAAAATCATGACTATACCAGGGAATATAGAAGTCTTAGAACTTAGTTCTGCCAGAGTCAATATGAAACATAGCATATTTATTTGCCTAAAAGATATTTATCACCTAGTTAAGTGGGATCTTGCAACCAGGGTTTGGAAAATTTTGCAACTTAATTACTGTTTATTTTTACTTTTCCCCTTCATATTAATATAGCCCTTTTCTTTGAAAGTATTTAGATATATTAGAAATTTTAAATATACAGTCAAAGATACTTGAATACTTATACTTAGAAAAACATATAGCACAACTGATGAAATTCAGGAGCTACATAGCTGAATTTTTTGATTGTTGGATATAAACATTATTTAATTTTAATTATGAGAGAACAAGTCATTAATTCACTCATTTAGAGTGATGCTTTAGATATGAAATACAGGATTTTTGACTGAAATATTAACATAAGTGGTGGCCTTCTGGACTTCATTATACATTATTATGTAACTGAAGCCTACTGTGAGTTGTGATGTTTTATTAGATATGAGATTTTCAGAACATTCAAACAGTTATCAATTAGGAAATACGCTGTAGAATTTTATACCTTTAAAAATAACACAGTATTCTATGTAGTGTTAGGTGTGTAGGCATCAGTCTTCCACCTATATATCATTTATCTCTCTGCAAGCACTAATATTTTAAAAATGTTTTAGAAACTGACCTAATTTAAATATGGGGTGACCCTTTTATAGATCGATGAATGAAGTTGATAGAAGTTGAAATAAATTTGAGGTTTAGAAACTATTAAATAATAAGTCCCCTCTCCTTTTGTCATTTTGTTTAAACTGAATTCAGAATTGGGGGATTAAAATTACTTAAAAATAGAAAGAAAAAAAAAAAACCTCTGACCAGAAAACATTGGGGTATGTTATTTTACATGTGAACAGACGTCTAAGGGAAATTCTATATCAGTTTATGTTAGGATTGTGTTTTCTTGTTTAGGATAACTGTATATTTCTTTACCTACTTGAGATTGTGTTGTCCAGTTTTTACCATCCTACTAGGAGTTAAGTCATTGAACTTGAAACTTTAATGTCCATGAGGAAAGCTGGGCAAGTAATAACATTGCAAATATTTGCAACTGTTTGGCAGTTTTCTGTTGTGCTGTATTCCTACATGTACTAAAATGCTATTAAGTGAAGTCTATAATTCCATAAAAAATGAATGATCTGCAATTGAGAATTTATGTCTTTTAAAGAACATGCCTGAACATGTATGAATAGTGAATTGTAAACCGCACAGATCACGTGATACAGGGAGAGATCTGGGTGAGCTCTCTTGAGTCCACAGGGCAGATATTCTTTGTGATGGGATAGGATTGTGGCCAGAGGAGGCCAGAGGTGAAGGCGCTGGGAACTGATCATCTGAGATCGGAAGAAGTCCTGAGATCACAGGCACCGAGCCTAAAAAAAACTGTGAGAAGACCAATGTACCAGTTTTGACCTGCTTGCCCAGAGCAAGAGGTTCCAGTTGGAAGAATTTTCAAAAGATAAAGTTGGATAAGGTAGAAAGACTTGCTTTCCACGGGGAAGCATGAATTTTTTATCCGGCATGGTTTGGAGTCTTCTCTCAGAAGTTTGGAGCAACAGAATTCATGAACAAAAAGTAGAGTTATTTAGCAGATTGTGAATTCAAGTCGAGGTTGGAAATTGAAGCCTTTAGAAGGATCCGCGTGATGATGTACATTTTTCTGCGATAGCTCACAAAGTGTTTTCATGTGGAATATTTTATTTGCTTTGTATCAAAATTTATGTTGTAGCTGACTGCTGTTACACCTGTTTTGTAAGAGAATTTGAAATTCAGAGGTCAAATAAACTACTCTGTGATTTATTTTTTAATAGCATTAATTATTAACACTGTAAATGGCCATTTTTCATTTTAACTGCAATGAACTTGAAGGGTTTGTGCTTGAATTTTTGTTTC